CAACCACCCCCCCCCCCCCCCCCCAGATTAATTTTCCCTACTGTAACAGTTGGACGGAGATAAATTTAAGGTAAATCTCCAGTAATTAAATTATATTACTGGAAAATTTATAAATTTTCTATATATAAAATCTAATTACTAGGGGGGTCATCTTATAGTCAGGTTCATCTTATATTTGAGTTAGTGTGGTATTTCACATTTACTACCTGTGTAAAAACATACATTTGCACTACCACACTTCTGCTTTTAATGTTAGTACCTACAAAGTTACTGAACATGCTTAGGGGTATATCTTGCTTCACCTATTAGGTGCCTAAGTAGGTTTACATGTCTAAGTGTGATTCTATTCTGCCCTACTCAAGTCCTTTAAAATATTTTGACTTGCCTACCTTTGGAACATGCCATCATCTTACCCTTAAGAATAAGACGAAAAAAAGCAGGCACAAGAAGAGGACCTATCCACTTTCTGCATTAACTGTTTTTTAGAGGCTTGAGCAGAGTGGAATGGGATCACACTTAAGGGCCCAAGACATTTGAATTTTGGAACTGTGTATAAATGAGTCAATTGTATCCCACCTACACTGATATCAAGGAATCCCACTTGTAATGCAGCAACTGGGTTGTTACAGTTCTAGGGCATTGGCTTTTCAAGCTTTTTTGGTCATATACCCCTTTACTTGCAAAATATTGCTGCTTATATCCTCTATACAACTCCGCATATTCAATCCTTAGGAAGAGTGTTGACCTTAATGCCGTTATTTGCTGCACATTGGCCAATCAGAAATTCCACTGCCATTATTAACATTTAGGTACATACTCCTTGGGAAAGTGCCATGTGCCCCTAGGGATAGGCATACCCCAGTTTGAAAACCACTGCTTTAGGGAAAATGATATGGTGCTAGTCCCTTTTATTTCAAACAGATTTTTGACACAGCTGAGCTTCTGTAAAATAATTACTATAGATAGATTCAAGAATAAGACGGCCTTGAGAGAACATAATTAATCCTCATTAAGCTTTTGGATGGTAAGGACCATGAAAAGAATTCTGCTCCCAGTTTTATTGGTATAAATACAAAGCCATTAGAGTTATTTCAGATTTATTCAGTGGTTGTGAGGTCTGCTTGGGACTGGAGCATCCATTGCAGACTATGAAGTACTGGCGTTATTTGGCCTTGTCAATA